TATGCTTATATATAAATATCATTATTTATTATGTATAATTATACAAAATTCATAGAAATTATATTAAATTCATGGAAATCTTATACATCTTGGCATAAAATGTAATCTGTCATCATAACGTAGGGTCACCTTGAAGGGACTGAACCTGAGTATTAGAGAAATGTCCCAGCTGACTTTCATACAAAGACAGCAACAACAGAATCTGTAAAGATTATGGCACATGTAGCTAAAGTCCATTCTATTTTTTCAAAAATTAACCCCTTGTCGGACTTTTGCCATCCTAATGTCCTTATAACATGGCAAAGTCTCCTTCTCAATTAGAAAAATTAAGATGGGTATTGGTAAACAATAGCTGTGGATTAAACAGTCAGGACTACAGAAAACCCAAATAGCTTGTCTCTTCTTGAGACCCTGGCAAACCCCATTTTTTTATTTGAAGGTTAAATCCTCCCCTTGCTGCAAGATTGATGCCCTCACAATGACAAAGAGATGTCGAAAATGCGTTTTCCATTTTGGGTATATGTCTATAGTCTCCAGTAATTAAGGCACCCACTTCACTGGGCAACTCATATGAGCCTCAACAAAAACCTCAGAATCTTCTTGAAATTGCCACTGTCAATATAATGACCCTCAGTCATCAGGCAGCATGGACAGAAATAACGGAAAGACTAAAAACTAAAAACTCAAATATTGCTAGAAAAAAACTTACTTACATGGATTTCAGTGAACTGATAAATATGGGAATTTTTAAATAATTTATTTTTTTGCAGCACTGGGTCTTTGTTGCCACGTGGACTACCCTCTAGTTTTGGTGAGTAGGGGCTCCTCTCCAGTTGCGATGCCCAGACTTCTCACTGTGGTGGCCCCCCTTGTTGAGGAGCATGGGTTCTAGGCGGGAGGGCCTCAGAAGTTGTGGCTCCTAGGCTCTAGAGCACAGGCTCAGTGGTTGTGGTGCTAGGGGGTAGTTGCTCCGCTACACGTGGGATCCTCCCAGATAAGGGATCAGACCTGCATCTCCTGCATTGGCAGGTGGATTCTTTACCACTGAGCCACCAGAGAAGGCCTGATTATAATTTTTCTGACTTTTTGTCTGAAGTTTTACTGTCTTTTCATCTTTCTTGTCCAAATGCTAGGGAAACTTTCTCTTTAAGCTAATTATGACATGGCGTTTTAGTAAATTATATCCGTGTAAAGAGAACTGATGGAGAAGGAAATGGCAACCCATCCAGTATTCTTGCCTGGAGAATTCCATGGACAGAGGAGCCTGGTGGGTTACAGTCCATGGGGTCGCCAAGAGTCGGACATGACCAAACGACTAACATAACAAAGACAACTGAGACATTTATCTTTTCTCTCATTAGATCTCTCCAGAATTTGGAAACTCTTAGGTTCCCAGCAGGAACCTTTCAGGAAAGAAGGAAGGAAGGTCATTTTCTGGCAGTTGTAGGAACCTCATGATATTTTGAATTTCAAGATGAGAGGAGAGGCAAATTAATGGTGAGGGTTCAAAGAGCTAAAGTTCAAAGCAGGGACTAATACTTCCAACTTGGACTTGGGGGCGGTGACCAATGATCCTGGTTCACTGAGGACTGCAGGGCCTCCTGGAACATAGAACTTTCAGAGAGAAATCCAGGATAGTTCTGGCAAACAGGACAGCTGGTTATGTTAATAAAGGCAATGTTGTAGAAGAGTCAGAGAAGGCTTTGCAGAGGACAAGAAGCAGCAATCCCTGTAGAATTAGTTGGACTGGATCACCTGCCTTCATTAATACCTTTGACATAAATACAAACTCCCTTCAACACTCTTACAGACAGCAGTCCGAGCAACTGCACAGTGATTTCATTTACTGAGTACTTTCTTTTGATTGTCATGTGAGCTGAAATCTTTCATCAGCCACAGGCTTCTGTTTTCATTATTTTTTTTTTTTTTTTTTTTTTTGTTTTCATTATTGCACCTGTGTATCCTCCATAGTTTTCCAATTTCCAGGTGCTATACTTCCCTTCAACACTGTTTTTTTATTTTGTTTTTTTATTTTTTTAACCACACAATATTGTAAAGTAATCAACACTGTGTTAAAAGAGAACTCTTATAATGCCTCTTCCCCTCCAAATGTATTAAATTACAGTGGAGTCTCTACTGTTGCTGTTGTTCAGTTGCTAAGTCTAGTTCAACTCCTTGTGACTCTATGGACTGTGGCATGCCAAGCTCCCCTGTCCTTTGCTATCACCCGGAGTTTGCTCAGAATCATGTCCATTGAGTCGGTGATGATATCTAACCATCTCATCCTCTGCCACCCTCTTCTCCTTTTGCCTCCAATCTTTCCCAGCATCAGGGTCTTTTCTAGTGAGTCGGCTCTTTGTATCTGGTGGCCAAAGTATTGGAGCTTCAGCTTCAGCATCAGTCCTTCCAATAAATATTCAGGGTTGATTTCTTTTAGGATTGACTGGCTTGAACTCCTTGCTATCCAAAGGACTCTCAAGGGTCTTCTCCAGCACCACAATATGAAAGCATCAATTCTTTAGTGCTCAGCCTTTTTTTACAGTCCAACTCTCACATTCAAACATGACTACTGGAAAAACCATAGCTTTGACTACACAGACTTTTGTCAGCAAAGTGATGTCTCTGCTTTTTAATATGCTGTCTAGGTTTGTCATAGCTTTCCTTTCAAGAAATTTAAGGGCTGCAGTCACCAGCTGCAGTGATTTTGGAGCCCAAGAAAGAAATCTGTCACTGCATCTACTTTTTTCGCTTCTATTTGCCGTGAAGTGATGAGACCGGATGCCATGATCTTAGTTTTTTTAATGTTGACCTTTAAGCCAGCTTTTTCACTCTCCTCTTTTACTCTCATGAGGAGGCTCCTTAGTTCCTCTTCACTTTCTGTCATTAGAGTGACATCATCTGTATAACTGAGGTTGTTGATATTTATATCCAGCTTCTAATTCATCCAGCCCAATATTTCATGTGATGTGGAGGCCTGGCGTGCTGTGGTTCGTGGAGTTGCAGAGTCGGACATGATTGAGCAACTGAATTGAACTGAACTGAACTCTGCTTATAAGTTAAATAACCAAGGTGACAATATACAGCCTTCTCTTACTCATTTTCCATTTTTGAACCAGTCAGCTGTTCAATGTAAGATTCTAATTGTTGCTTCTTGACCCATATACAGGTTTCTCAGGAGACAAGTAAGGTACTCTAGTATTCCCATCTCTTTAAGAATTTTCCACAGTTTGTTGTGATCCACATAGTCAATGAAGCAGAAGTAGTTGTTTTTCTGGAATTCTCTTGCTTTCTCCATGATCCAACGAAAGTTGGCCATTTATTCTCTGGTTCCTCTGTCTTTTCTAAATCCAACCTGTATGTCTGGAAGTTCTCGGTTTATTGTAATGCTGAAGCCTAACTTGAAGGATTTTGAGCATAGCCTTACTAGCATGTGAAATGAGTGAAATTGTATGGTAGTTTGAACATTCTTTGTCACTGCCCTTCTTTGGGATTAGAATTAAAAGTGACCTTTTCAAGGTCAGTATTGTAGGGAGTCTGTATTAGAGGTCAAAAATTAGAAGGAAGTCTGCTTAGAAGCATAAAATGGGTTTTCATTTGAATACAGATTCTCACAAGCAAGGGTTGGCTTACTTTAAACTAGAGAGGAAAAGTGTTCACCTATGTGAAATACTATAAACCAATGCTTCTCAAATTTTACTGTGCAAAGAAACCACCATCTCCTCCTCCTATCTTGTAAAAATGGCAGATTCTGCCTAGTGGGGCTGGAAGGGCCTGATATTCTTAATATTTAAGGAACGTCCAGTCGGTTCCATTGCTGCTTATCCTAGTACCATACTTTGGGTCACAAAGGCTGTAAAGCAGAAAGATCCTTTCTGACATTGGTCCTTGCCCAAATTGCCCCCGATTCCCTAAAATTCTTGTATGTTGCTGATGAGCCTGAAAGTCCACCAGTTATTCTAAGTTGCAGATATATTCACAGTGTAATGTTAACTCTTAATCAGATAGTTTCCTCATCATATAAACTGAATTAGGAATAATCAACATCCATGTTGATTTCTGTGGGTCCATGGGATCTCAAAGAGCCGGACATGACTGAGCAACTGAGTACACACACATGCACAGAAAAGAATTTAATAATGAGGTACTGTATAAAGGGGTGAACACAAAGTTGGAACATGAGGAGGTTAGGAAGAGCCGTGGGCGTTGGGCACCTGCATAGTATTATGAAAGGAGGACTACTTGGGTTTATGCTAAAGGCTATATTAGCAAGTAGAAGGAGGTGAAGAAAGAGGTGAGAGGCTACTTATAATGAACCTCAAAGTTTTAAAAGCCTTGCCTTGGGCCAGTCTGAGGAAACCTAACCCTAATAAAACTAGCAAGTCTATTCCTAATTTTGCATAGAAAGACAATATGATGCCTGTGTGTATCAGTAAAGATTCACTGTTTTTTCTCAGTTTGCTTATGCAGTTGTGAAGTGCAAGAAGTTAGCCTGTTAAATGCACATGCTAATTGAAACTATAGGAAATGTCTTCTAATAAATATTGAAGATTCCAAGATAGGATTTAGAGCTAAAAATATGACCAGTGACAGACAGCACAGCATAATAGCACTTAAAAGAGTTGGAGATCACTGAGCCTCTTTAATTCTATGGATGACAAAACTGAAAACAAGCAGGTTTAAATGGATTTCTCAACTTCATTCAGGTAGTTAATGAAACAGTCTGAACTTGAATAGCACAACTCTTGACTTTCAACCAAGGGCTTTCTATAATATGGTGTAAAGGTCTGAGAAACCAGGTTAAATTTTCCTGAAAGTTTTCACATTTTAATTTCAATAAGTTTTTTTTTTTTAATGTCAAGAAGCATGTTTGTGCTTAATGATTTTATACTTAGTAGTTCAATTACTTTTGACAAATTTCCAATTTTTTGAAACTTTTACTTTCTTTCTGTCAAGGGTTCCATTTTTTGGATAACCAACAAGGACCTTCTGTCTAGCACAGGGAGCTCTGCTCAATGTTATGCGGCAGATTGGATGGGAGGTGAGTTAAGGGGAGAATGGAATCATGTATATGTATGGCTGAGTCCCTTTGCTGTCTACCTGAAACTATCACAACATTGCTAATCAGCTATAATTCAATAAAGAAAAGTATAATAAAAAAAAAGAAAATAAAGAGCTTTATTTTTAAAGCAATTTCTAGAAGACCTATGCAATTTATTATATATAAGATCAAGACCAAGATAAATCCGTTTATTTTCTGAATATATTCCAGATGTTGCCAAGAGTCCTCCTTTTGATAAAACAAGAAAATCTACTTTCCTATCCTGAACGTAAGCCTGGTTTTCTTCTGAAATTCCTGTCTACTATACACATTTTCCCATGTCTGGACATGGATAGCCAAAGGCAGAAGCAAAGTAGAAGTCCAAGTCAAATGAGATATGCTTGTGAGGCCTGACCTCTGAGGCTACTCCACCTGTCAACGTAGTCTACTTAGCTTGGTTCTAGTAGTCTACTGGTCTAGTAGTCTACTTAGTCAACTTAGCTTTGTTCAGGACACACCTCAAAGAATTTGGAAGGTAACTAGACAAATAAAGGTTAGTATACAATGCAGATTGTAAGGCAGTGACATTTCTCACCAGGAAAGACACAAACTAATGTATTACTTTCCCAGTCTCCATCCTCCCCCTTATCAAAAATGCACTACGAGGAACTTCCCTGGTTGTTCAGTGGTTAGGACTCTGCACTTGCACTGCTGAGGTTCAATCCCTGATCAGGGAATTAAGATCCCAGAAGCCATTCGTCACCACCCACCCTCTGAATGCATTATATCAAACTTTCTCACTCGAATGTGAGTTTTAACTCAACGGTATTGCATTTTCTAAGACAATTTCGATCTTATACCTCAGGGCTTCCCCGGTGGCTCAGTCAGTAAAGAATCCATCTGCAGTGCAGGAGATGTGGGTTCGATCAGTGGGTAGGAAAGATCCCCTGGAGAAGGAAATGGCAATCTACCTCAGTATTCTTGCCTGGAGAATCCCATGGACAGAGGAACCTGGCGGGCTACAGTCCACGGGTCACAGAGTCAGATACTACTCAGCAACTAAATCACTGCCACCTCAGCGCTACCCTAAGTAAGAGTGACAAAAAGGTGAGGTTTCCAATCTCATCTATCACTGACATTGGTAGAGAACAAGAAAGAACAAGAAAGCATTGTGGAGAAGCTGTCTAGAACCCCTGAAATCTCACTTGGTAGAGAACAGGCTATTCTGGCATCACATTATAACCCACATGCCTGTGCCTGCAAGTTAACTCATTGAGTAATAAGAGTTCACCACAGTTCGCTGAAAAGGTGAATGCAAAACTTTGGACTCAACTTCTCTGAAAACAAGAGCAATCTTTTCAGAGGAGTTTTTTAAATATAAGTGAATTTATGTTATGCCAGAAGGACTTTCTTTTTAGTGCCCCATTCAGTGGAATTTTAATTGGAATACTTCTGGATGTCCATTTATATTGTCATCAGGGTTTATGTTTAAACAACATGTTTTTAAATAGATTACCTTAGAGGCTGATGAATCAAAATCATAAAAATAAGAAATACATACATTCATCTCTCAGAGGAAAGACAATAGATAAATCCACAGTAATGTCATTATTGTTTTAAGATTACTCTTTCTTTTCCTAGCTCAGGAAAATTTATTTACTAATTTTCTGAATGTCTCTAAAAGTCCAAATGTTATCTCTTTATGTTGAAATTTTGTCTGTTTCAATGAGATTTAATTTATAGCAAAACTCACCCTTCAGAGGTAGTTAATTGTCCTGTAAATTGATTTGATAAGCTAATCCCTGCTAATGTTTTAACAAGTATGAACTTATCAATGTGTTCTCTAGTAGAATTACACTTCTAGAAACTCTTTGAAATAGTATCCTATCCAAAGTCAAGATTCTATTGTACATAATTCCAAGGACACTGGCAGATCTATAATCAGGGTACTTCTGAGCAGGCAGATCTCAAAGAAGTTTTACTACACAGACCTTTGACTAACAGTCCAATTCCTTATACCGTATTACTGGACTGCCCTATAAAACTTTCCGCTGTAAATGCAGAGGTAAATGAGAATTCCCCTTTCTGACAGTATATGTAAAGCCTTTTTACAGGTCAAAGATGAAAGAGTAGAAAATAAATCCCTTCAGTGTAAGAGCCAGATCATAGCATATTGATATCTGTGCTTTCCTTTTTCTTAAAAAAAAAAAAAAAAACAAAAAAAACAAAACTAGCAGACATCCCTCTGATAATTTTTAACCAGAATGTCTTCAAATACAATTATTTGGCAAATGAATAAACATTTACTGAACACCTGCTATGTATTAAATACTGTGCTATGTGGCATTAAACGTACATGAGCACATTTCATTATTCTTACTTTTCTAAAGCCTTTTTATTAAGTCTTCCTTTTATAAGGCCAATCCAGTGTTTATGATGTTTACAATCAAGGCTCTAAATTTCATATGAAAGTGAGAGTCACTGAGTTGTGTCCGACTCTTTGCGACCCCATGAATTACACAGTCCACGGAATTCTCCAGGCCAGGATACTGGAGTGGATAGCCGTTCCCTTCTCCAGGGGCTCTTCCCAACCCAGGGATCGAAACCAGGTCTACCACATTGCAGGTGGATTTTTTACCATCTGAACCACCAGGGAAGCCCCAAAATTTCATATATGTAAATATAAATAAAATGGTTATATGGTTTATATATCCATTAGGCCACATTCCTTGAGGTAGAAGACTGCCTGTTTACTCTTCTTCCCCCTGAGCCTGAACCTAGTCCAATGCCTGGCATACACAGGCTCTCATTAAATCTTTTTGGAATAATTATTTTTTTAAATATTTATTTATTTATTTGATTGTGCTGGGTCTTTATTGCAACAGTTTGAATCTTCAGTCTTTCTTGCAGCACGTGAAATCTTTAGTTGTAGCACTCAAACTCTTAGTTGCAGGATGTGGAATCTAGATCCCTGACCAGAGATTGAATGGGAATGCAGAGTCTTAGCCACTGGACCACCAGGGAAATCCCTGGAATAATTTCCCAAAGAAACTGTGGAACATTTTAGTGGACAGATCATTTTGATTAGTTCTTCATAAGTGTGTTACTGATAGTAGTGGTGTTTTGAGTAACTGGGGTAGAAAGAATTAATATGTGACCTTGATCTCCCCAACAGTGCTTTGTAATAATGAGCACCCAATTGATGCTTTTGAACTATAGTGTTGGTGAAGACTCTTGAGAGTCCCCTGGACTGCAAGGAGATCCAACCTGTCAGTCCTAAAGAAAATCAGTCTGGAATATTCATTGGAAGGACCGATGTTGAAGCTGAAGCTCCAATACTTTGGCCACCTGATGCGAAGAACTGACTCATTGGAAAAGACCCTGATGCTGGGAAAGATTGAAGGCAGAAGGAGAAGGGGACGACAGAGGATGAGATGGTTAGATGGCATCACCAGTTTGATAGACGTGAGTTTGAGTAAACTCCGGGAGTTGGTGATGGACAGGGAAGCCTGGTGTGCTGCAGTCCATGGGGTCACAAAGAGTTGGACACAACTGAGTGACTGAACTGAACTGAATACAGATTTAATTGAATGAGAAGCTTTAAAAAAAAAAAAAAGAGCATTGCGAGGGGTACAGAGCTGTATATGACATGGTTTTATAAAAATTTTTAAAATGTCATATACAGCTCTGTACCCCTTACAATGCTTAAAAAAAAAAAAAAAATAGGGCTTCCCTGGTGGTTCAGACAGTAAAGAATCTGCCTGCAATGTGGGAGACCCAGGTTCAATCCCTGGGTCAGGAAGATGCCCTGGAGAAGGAAATAGCAACCCGCTCCAGTATTCTTGCCTGGAAAATCCCATGGAGAGAGGAGACTGGCGGGCTACGGTTGATGGGGTGGCAAAGAGTCGGACATGACTGAGCAACTAACTTTATAAAAATATATGTAACCAGAGACTCCACTTCCCTAGTCCCCAAGCTTGGGGTTTACTCGTGCCCTCATTTTTCCTCAGAGTGTGGATACTGGATTCTAGTAGTCTAGGATGCTTAGAGAATACAGGGTAATCAGTACACAGAATTTCTTGCTGCTATCACATGAAATGGAACGCTGACAGTAAATGGCAGCTGGCTTCTACAGAGTGCTGGCTGGTCCTCTATTCTGGCTTCTGCCAAGGCATTGGCAGGATGCTTGTTAGTAACAAGCTCCTCTAGCCGCCTGCACTGCTGCCTTTTGGGCCATAATCTGGCCCTTGACCCAGAATCAGGATGTGCTAAAGTGTTTGCCCCTTTATGGACCCAAGGCTCTGGCTAATTTTACTCTTTTCCTCTTTAGAAGCCTGGCAAGTTACTTCTAAATTTAGCTCCAAATAGAAAAAGACATTGTTTTTCTAGCCCGAAATTCCAGCCAAGCCTTCATCCTCAGAGTTATGACCATCTTCTAAGTCTCTGGGCCCCACAGGAGAGAAGAAAAAGCTCTTTATTTATATTTAAGGGCTCGCCTTCCTGTACTCTTCTTGGTTCCTGCCATAGGAGTCAAAGGGGGCACAGCAACTGCTTTTTGGCAGACAAGTAGGAGAGAGTCTAGCCTGGATATGACTAGCTCCCAGACTGCTTTATTTCTACTGTTTCGTGAGCCTTCCAACCTCTTTTCTCCATCTTGGGTCCTCTAAGACAGAGCTTCTATCAGCGTTGGGATACTCTTTTCTCTGGGCTCACCTTTGTTTCTTGAAAACTTCAAAATATGCCTTCGCTTTTATGGTTCATCCTTCTATAAATACCTACCTTTTCCAGAGCGAATAAAAGCATGGACATAGCTGGGCAGTTCCTTCTGGCCTTAAAAGTCTTTGATGATTACTTCCAGACAAAGTTCAGAGCTGCTGACAATCCGAGTTGATTGCAGGCACTTTAGAGTGAGTCTTGACAGTGCTTTCAAAAAGATTATGTCTTCTTTTCCTCTTTCAGAAGTAGCTTCCTTAATTCTAGAAATCTTGGAGGCAATTTTC